ACTGGCCCCAAAATTACGCTTTCATGAATGAACTTCTTGGGAAGTTAATTAAAAAAAAAAAGTCAAAGAGATCCACTAGATTTAGATGAAAATGGCCGTGGATCTATTTGAAGTTGGGAATTTCCTTTCCTACTAACACATGCATCTTGAGGGTCTTTGTATAGATATGTTTAGCCTTGAGTTTCAACTTTGTTCTAATTGCTTTCTCATTTGCTGCACACATGGTGCAGGGAAATTTTTGTATGCACTATATTGCCATTCCAGAACTCATTGTGTTAAATAAGCTCTTTCTGATTTCAGGATAAAATATATGTTTTAAATAAAACACACACAAAAAATAAAGAGATTGAAAAAATAACTCAGATAATTCCTTTTAATGCTTTGGCATAATATACTAGAGAAGTGGGTGTTTAGTATAATTTTTAAGCCACTACTTCCTGCATGGGGGCATCTGAATTTGAGGCCCAGATCTAATTCTGACTCCAGCTTTTTGCAGATACACGCCAGGGAGGCAGCAGGTAAGATTTCAGGTACTTCAGGCCTTGCCACCTACATGGGACACCCAGATTCAGATCCAGGCTCCCGGTTTCAGTCATTCTAGGTGATTGTAGGCATTTGCGGAGTGAACTAATAGAAGTAATACCCCATCATCTGTTTAACTTTTTAAACTACAAATAGTTAACTAAACAAATGTTTAAAGATTCACTTAATCTATTTAAAAGGCAGAGTGAGAGAGGGCAAGAGAGTGATGGGTAGACAGAATGTTATTTTTCATTTTTTGTTTGCCCCCTACTAGCAACTGTAACAATCAGGACTGGGTCAGACCAGAGCTAGGAGTCAGGAGCTGATCAGCATCCAGTGGCAGGGAGCTGGATTGGAAGAGGAACAGCCAGGACTTGAATCAGCGCTCCCCTAAGGACGCCAGTAACGCAGGAAGTGGCTTTGCCAAAAATGTTGTCCCAATATATAAATTATTTTTAACAGGGCTTGAGTGCATTTACTAAATTCTTAGCACTTTGATTTGAAATGCACAAACACTTCAAAAAACTCATGAAAATATGCATGGTAAAAAGCTATGCTATGCATGAATTTCAATGAAATACCTTCATACAGCATATATTTTATAATACATAGCAACTTCCCCATGCCCCTACTTCCAAAATAGTCACAATTGGAACTTCTATTGCTGTTATCAAGTTTAATTTATTCTTCAGTCTCAGATGAAATTGCTTAGTATGTGGCTTTGTGTCAAATTTCCTTTAGGTTGGTGTATAGTATTCCAGCTTTGTCCATTTTTCTGTTAATAGACATTTGAACTATTTTCAGCTTTTGGAACATCTAGAATTTGCATGTCTTCTGCTTTCTGTTAGACTTAAGCAAGGAATAGCTTTGCTGAATAGGTGCGTGGTTAGCTCTAGTAAACAGTGCTTATGGTTTCTAAAGTTACTTATCTAAAGTTACCCATACTCATTACTTATTCATTCCTTAGGATGTTAGCCATACTGAGGAAAACGTGTTGGAATTTGTTGAGTTAATGCAAATCTAAAGATATTTTAGGTTGTTGAGATAAGAATTCTAACTAATAAAGAATATACTAATTTTTTTTTTTTTTTTTTTTGCTAACTCTTCTTTCATTATCCTTAAGACATTCAGTGCAGATGATGGCCGATATGTCTACTGCCTTGGATTCTATATTTAGATTTGGAATCTGACTTAGTATTTTAAGCACATATTTTACTTTGTTTGCTTTATTCTTACTCTTAGTAACAGTCTATATATAATTGTTATGACTCATGAGGTAAAGAATAGTTATAAGCTATGGAGTTATAAACATTCATTATTTGTTATAAGACACAGGAAAATGAGGCAAGAGGCCATGCTGAATATATAGTGCAAACATGACTTTTCTTGAGGTTATTTTTTGTTGCGTATGCTTGCAGGCACATGGGTAATTGAAATGCAATTGTTTGGATAGGTAAGTCATTAATTTATGTATTATAGATTACCTCCAAAATCATGAAAAACTCAACAAGCACTTCCTGATATTTTTAGTTATTTTTTCAAAGAAGAGCTGGTATACTTATTTTAGACATCATTTTGATCGTAAAATAATGCAAAATGATTTCATAAAATTTGGAAATATATTGGAAATTATTGGAAAATATATAATATATTTAAGTTTCTTTAGGGATCCCCTCAATCAAACTGCTGGACTCAGATCTCTAACCATGAAAAGACAGAGGTAGAACAAATCAATCAACTACCCTAGCCATATATTGGCAGTGTAAAACAGGGCAAACAGAGACTCTAAGATGGCTTATGCCCATCAGAGGATTCTTCAGCAACCTCATCGTGTTTGGAATGGTGAGATTGGCGGCAATTCATAACTGTTGAACTATCAAAACCACTTGAGCAAGATCCTTGGAGCATGCCCTACATTGGGGATCTGGGATGGGTGGGAGACTGGGTGGGGCTTCTCCCTTTACCTCCCCCTTTACCCCAGATATAGAAAAAAAAAGTGGAAATGGTGGTCTTACCCACTTTCCTGTAGCCCTTGACCCTTTGTGCCCTAATTAATTATATAAAGATTGTAAAAAATAAAATTTAAAAAATGAACAAAAATATGAGAACACAAAAAATCATAAGATGAACTGTTTAATAAAATATGATCTATTTACTTATTTATTTTAAAGATTTATTTTATTTTTGTTAGAAAGACAGTTGTAGAGGAAGGAGAGCGAGAGGTCTTCTTCTTCTCCCTGGTTTATTCCCCAGATGGCCACAGTGGCTGGAATTGAGGGAATATGAAGCCAGAAGCCAGGAATTTCTTCAGAGTCCCCTTGGTTCAGGGACCCAAGGACTTGAGCCATTCTCTGCTGTTACTACAGGCCATAGCAGGGTGCTGGATCAGAAATTCAGCAAGTGGGACCTTAAGAATGGGCGTCCATCTGGGATATCAGTGCTACAGATGAGCCTACCATGCCAGTTTTCTTAAAATACACTTACTTCTTCTGAAAAATGTTTTCCCTTATCTGGTATGCATATTCATTCTTGTGTTCCTTTCTACATTTTCACCTTCATTTTCACTTTTATTTCTCATTTCTTCTTAAGTTCTGTTATCATATTTCTGAGTTTTGCTAATTCTGATTCATATTGCTTTTTATGTCATAGTTTATTTTATTAGTGTCTAACCTTACTTGTTAAACATTTTTTGGGAAGAGCAATCATTTTGCGATGCTTTGTTGACATGTATTTCACAAATTATCTGTAGGGATGTCCTTGTGCTCTTTAAATTTTTTTAAAGAGAGTTACTTTTGTGAGATTTTCATTTTGCTAAAAGAAGTGAAGTTAGTTTTTCTTAATTTTGTTCTTGAGGGAGGCTAGTTCACATAGCATCCCTAAATTCAATTTTTCCTGCAGTAGTAAAACATGGTAATTTACTTTCTGAGATTTGAAGCTCTGTCCTCATTTGCATCTGAATCCTCTCTAAACATCTCTGTTATTCCTACACTACTCAATTTTTATTTCTCTCGCAAGTGCATGGGGGTCCTGTTTCAGAAAACGGCCCTGGCTTGAACATTCTTGGGTGGTTTCCAAAACCCTCAACAGCTTCAGCCACTGTTCTAGAAGTGGCCTCCTCTGTTTCTAGTTATCAATGGCTAGCTGCTGGGGAGCTCTCTTAGTCTCCAGACGTTGCCCATTGTACTGGGTCCCTCTGTGCTTTCCCACACGCATGCAGACACAGTGCCAGCCTTATGAGGCTTGATGATTTGCTCTCACTTGCACTTAGGGGGGCAATGAGTCTCCTGATTTTGGTTCAAAGATTGCCCTTGTGGTTTTGATTTTGCAATGTAATTACCCTGTTCTTATAAGAGGATTTGGAAAATCTGAAATTTGTGCTTCTGCTTTCCAGACAGCTACAGTTCCTTTCAGAACAATCAAACTTGTTTACCATGGTCCTTCATCTTTGCACATGGGAGTCAATTGACAAAAAGCAACTTCTCTGGCAGCATTTTCTCTCTGTTTCTTCCCCTGCTCCCCCAGCCCCTCTGTAGATGTCTCAGCTGAGTGCGGAGGGGAGGGAGCAGCAGGTTGCTACTGTTGACAGTATTGCTATATACATAGGGCATATCCTAAAACTCAATGTCTTGACCAGAAACATTGCTCATATTTGAACACGGAAGTTTTCCCTTTGGTTTGTGGTGTGGACAATGTTTGCAGAACTGGTCTTTATTTTTGGGTTTATTTTTGTCTGAGAATGACACTGGCATAACCATAGTGCCAATTACCTTGGGACGGAGTAATCTGTCTACAACTATTTTTTCCCCTTGGACTATAGCTATTCTAACCTGGAAAAAAGGGGGTTTATAGCTGCTCCTGTATTGTTTGTCATTCGTTCTTTTCAGTTCATTTTCCAGTAGAAGCCTGTGTAGGTCCAAAGTAATTTCTATCCCAGAATTCTTTATCACTTACAAGCCATGTGGTAAGCAGAATCCTCTCATGTTGGGATCTCATAATGTTGGAGACCAATAGTAATGGAGCAAATGCTTTGAAAAGAAATTTCTGCTAAGATCAATGAAGGGGAGATTTCTTCTCTTTTTTCCATATATACTGTCTTCTATCTATCACTGCTTCTTCTCATGGCCACTGAAAACACAACTATATAAGGGAAGGTTTACTAAATATCCCTGTGCAATGTGGGTTTCACTTTATACTTCTCATAGATTGGTTTGTGAAATGAAGGGCTGGAAGCTAATCCACAGAGGCCAGAGAGGTGCTAACTGCTGAACGCACCAGATGGTAGGCACAGGTGGAAGTCATCTGTAGAGTGAAGATCTCAGTGTTATGCTCATGCTCAGAGGTGTGCATGCCTCTAAGTCTACAATGCTTGGGGAGTGCCACGTGTGTCAGCTCTACTGATTAATCAGTTTATTAGCATATAATAAACATGTTGAGTAAAAGATTTGGACTTAACATAAATGAGCCGAGTCTTTTATAGAAAAAATATATACTTTATTTTCAACTAGAAAGGTGCAAACATGTAACTTTTGGTCACAATCTCCAACAAATCAACTGTCCCAAACCAGTCATAGTCTAAGTAGAAACAAATGCTTTCAGGTGCAAAAATGGATCAGCTAGAACACAGACTCCTTTTTAAATAAAAGCCATTTGTGCAGTAAGGGAGGCTACCACATTTCCTAAGCAGGAATCAGACTTCCTAGAATATCACTGCCTCACCCGCAGCACGTTATCTGTTACTCTGAGCAGATTTTCCAAGAGTATCCATTCCATGCTTTGTATTGTAAGACAAACTTTATGTTCTACTTATGGTGTTGAGAAATTGAGGCTAACATTTGAAATATCAAAGCCTTAAAAATAAAACAAAAAGGTACGAACAACTTTAAATTAACTTAGATAACTGTACAAATATATATATAATATACACACACACAATATTTACATATCAATAAAAAATTCTGGCTTGTTACGGCAAACCAAGTTGCCACAAGCTGTCCAGTCTAATAGACAGGATTCTGATTCCTGAACATTCTTTTGAATCAGAATGTCAGAGCTGAATCTGCTGTTCCCACTTAAACAACTTGATTCAGTCTCATGATGGGTATAGACCATACATGCTTGCTGTCGCTGGAACTACAGGCAGGTCAGCGAACATGCTAAAATCTCCCTTCTCAAATTACACTCCAAATAGCAGGCGTGTCAGTACTTTCAGTTGACATCTGATGGTCCTAGCTTTTCTACTGGCACCTCTCAGTGCTCCTAAAGCCACACCTTTGTATACATTCTGGCGCTGTGTGCTTATTAAATCTCATGGTCAAGTCTAAACTTTCTTCAAACCAGTGTCTGGGGTTGAGAGTATTGGCCTGACATGGCACAATGTTTTGATTTCGGTAGGAATAGTTTCCCTCAGTTAGAAAAACATTTAAATAACTTGTGCTACTGAATCATTTTTACACAAAAAATGAGATGTGAGTCAGTTCAAGTGACAGTCTGATGAATGGGTTCGCGTCTCTCACTCTGGCTTTACGCCATGTCTCCATACATCTTCCTGTAGTACAGGGACTCAAAGATGTCATTGTCCCCAGGACAGTTGTAGTGGCAGGCACAGGTCTTGATGAACATCATGTTCTTCTTCATGACCTCCCCGTCAGGACACTTGAACTCCACTGGCAGGGTGGTGGTTCTGTGGGGAGTGCAGCACCGGCCATCGGTGCAGACTCCACAGAATTTAGCCCGGTAGGACTTCACACTGGTGCAGCCAGAAAGCTCGAACTTGACAGGCTTGGAGATTTTGGGGGTGCGGATGCACTTTTTGCCCTTCTAAGGGAAACAAAAGAGAGAAGAGAAAAATCAATGGCTCTGCTCAGGAGATGGCATTCTTCAGCTCTTGGGTTTCTGCTCTTATGCTGGTTTGACTTGTTGATATTTTGGAAAGGGAAAGTGGGAAGTTTAAGTCTCATGGGCCAGTTTTCCAAAAATAATCATGACCTCTCTTGGAATGCCTTGAATTAACTAACGCTGTGGACTCGAAGCAAAAAACTTGTGGTCGCTATTACACAATCTCTCCTTCCAGCCTGACAGCTCAACGGCTAGATATTTTTGGAGATAGCAGTCCTATTCCAACAAGGCTGGGTAAGAGACCTGACTTGGAGGCCACCCACTATTACCACTTCCTGACACCGATAATGATGCTAGGAGGACATGTACCTTAATGCTGTCTTCCAGGTCGGCTTCGCAAGGCCTGACCATGCACAGGCGGCTCTGCTTCTCCAGCCGGCAGAAGGCGTTGTCATTGGTAACACGGGTGGAGATGCCCATCCCACAGGTCTTGGAACAGGCACTCCACTCTGTGGTCTGGACCAGGCAGTTGGCTCGCATCATGGTTGGGTCTGGGCCAAAAGTGTCTTCCAGTCGGTAGGCTGTGAGAGCAGAACGCACAAACACAAGTTGAAACACTAGCAGGAGACCTCGACCCACCAACTAGGCATCCTCAGAACTTAGCTCTTGGGGTGGGGGGGAGGAGGCATGTAACTTAAAGACTCTACTCACCGGCCAGGGCTGGGCCAACCACGGTGTGGTCCTTGGGTTCATCACACACCCACTCCTCGCAGCATTTCCCTGGCAGCTTGACCCTCCTCGGGAAGGGGCAGTCGGGGCTGGGCAGGCGGACGTCCATGCTGCACAGAGGCACACAGCCCACGGCGCCATCCAAGCAAGTGCACTGATATTTGCAGCTGCTCTGGAAGGATTCTCCACTCCGGTAGACCGTGCCACCGAAGACGCAGGGGGCTCCATCTTTGGCTGTAGGAAAGAGAGGAAAAAGAGAGAGGGGGTGATGCAGATGTCAGGTACCCATTGCAGGATTTGTAACTACAAGCAAGTCAAGGATAAGAGTTAGGATCCGGCTGCAAGTGGGGGAGGACTGCAAACAGCTGCAGAAAGGGAAGTCAAGTCTAGGGTGTTTGTAGTCCCAGCAGATGAAGTGTACATGAGGGAGCAAGTGTCCAGACATTGGCACGAGGGTCTTACCAGTGCATACGCCGATCTTGCGGTTGGCCGGCGAGCCGAAGTCGCAGAAGAGGCCCTTGTGTGGGTCGCAGGGGTCTCGCTCCGTGCACAGCTCACCCAGCTGCTTGGCGCAGACGCGGCAGCAGCCACAGCCGTCCAGCACGAGGCTCACGCCGGCAGGGCAGCGAGGCGCCGGCGCGGCGGCGCACTGGCACTGCCCGCTGCAGTCCTGGCTGACGGTCGGCTGCAGGGAGGAAGGGGCAGTCAGCCTGAGCTCGCTCGGCGGCACGCACTTCCCTTTCTCCCCTACCCCCGGCACCGTCCGGCCTCGAGTCCCTGGCCGGCAGCTGCCGGCCGTGGCAGGCTGCTCCCTGGGCTTACCCGGCTGCAGAGGGCGAGGAGGAGTACGAAGGCGAAGCGGACGGAGCCCACGGTCCCGGCCATGGTCGGGAAGCTGCGAACGGCGGAGTTGGGTGCACGGCGGAGGCCAAGTAGTGGGGCACGGGGCGCTGGGCCGGAGCCGGGACGCAGGCTGCAGCAGGAGGTGGGTGTCTGGACGCGCCGGGCTGTGGTCTCGGAGGTGCTGTCGGCCGGGGCGGCTGCCGTCGGGCTGGAGGCGGTCGGTCGCCTGTGGTTGGAGTTGCACTGGCTGCCTCCTCTCAGTGGGGGAAGAGTTGTTGTGTGAAGCTGGGGCGGGCGGCCCCAGGCTTTTATACGCTCCGATCGGCCCAGGCTCTCCAATGAGCTGAATGGAGTCCCACACAAACAGGGACATTCCTTGCATTCCTCCCCACCTTCCTGCCTCATCAACTCACACCGGATTGATCCTGACCCCTTGACACTCAGCATTCCTCCGTCTGAAAATGCTGGCACACTCCGGTTGGCCAGGGGAAAAAAAAAAGGCCCAGTATTTCCAACACCAAATAAGACTTTTCCCCCTTAGCCTCTTCGCACCACTGCTGCTTTCTGTCCTGGAAAACACATCGGCGGTTATTCGTTTTTAGACCGGTGCTGTTCCTAAGAGCTTTGTCCCGTCCTCACCACAGACACCAGTCCCTCTGGAGGAGTTCGTCCGCTGAAGAGGCCAACAGCCGGCTTCCTCCAAAATTCTAAAGGGTTACCTTCTTCTTCTTTTTTTTTTTTTTTTAAATGAATTTTCCCTTTAGAGGCTATAGGTTGTTGAAGTTGTTCAGAAAGCAGAACGCTAGGAAGTGACTTTGAATCCTTTGAAATCCTGCAGATGCCCACCTGCGAAACCCTGAATGTCCAGACCAAGTGGAGGAATTCTATTCTTTGTCCAGAGGGTTGACAGTGTGGATACCCATGGCCAGACAAGAAAAGGAACAAAGGCTGGGGTCTGGGTATGGATGTGGTGTCCTGGGGGAGATTTTCAACACTTGGGCTTTGCTTTCTCTCAATACTAGCAGAAGTTGTATTGTTGGGGGTTTGGGAAGGGAAAGGGGGATGAATGGACAATCAGAGTTTCCAGAAAAAAAAAAGTGTCTATTGTTATGCCCCAGCAAATGATTGCCCTGCAGGATGGGAACGCAGCAGTAGAAAGAGAGTGGAGCCAGAGGGAGGCATCCAGTGGGAAGTTTGATTTTCATGGGGGGCATTTGAAACTCAGCTGTTTGGGGGGTCTGAGAATTGAGTCATTTTTAATGCACTGAAAACTGTAATCTTCAACTGTATGCTGGAATAGGCTTGATTTGAGGTTAAAAACTTGATTACATAACAACAGTGCAGCTCATCATTATATCCGGTTAAAGACAAGACTGTGAGCAATTATATTTTTAGCCACTCCTAACATATCTGTGAAGAGTGACTGTAGCTTCTGATTACCCAAGGAATAAGCAGGCTAATGGGGTGAGGTCAAGGGCGACCAAAGACTAGGTTTTTTTTCTACCCTGCTTGCATGCAGAGGTCTAATGTGACCAGTAAATCTAAGCGTATCTCCAATTTCATATCACTATTTAGTTTCACCAGTGATCCAGATGACTCAATGTGCCTCCATCTAGAATATATCTTGTTTAGGTGAGTGGTTTGTTCATATATTCATTTACCATTTTCTGTAAAGACAGTGATCCTAGGGCCGTGCCATCTTTGTCTTCCCTCATACCATGACATTGGTGTTTCCAGTGAGTGGATTCTTCCTGCTTGTTGATGCCTCAGGATACAGGTTTAAGTTGAGAATGACTGTTTCTGATGCAGAGACAAACTTTAGCAACAAAGCATAATGAGTTTATAATTTGAAAACAGCCTATTTAAACTGGCCAAGTTTTTCAAGTTTCTTTATCCATTGTGTTAAAAAATTAACCAAGTTTTTTTTAAAAAGCCACTGTTCTAGCTTCAGTGTGGACTGCATCATCTGTGCACAATTACCATGTTAAGCAGCCGCATGCAGAGCAGTGGGGTTGCATGTCAACAGTGCCATTGGCCAAGGGTGGTGTGGCATGGTGCGGGGGGCGGGGGGACTGGAGCTCAGGGAGAAATTTTCATCATGTTATTTAATGTTCTTTTCAAGCATTCCTCAAAGAGAAGAGGCCTAAGAGTTCCTATTTAAAGAAGGAACATTCCAAATTATGTTAATAACCACATGTGTATTAAAGGCAACTTGGCCCCCAACTGTTTCTTCCCTTGTGGATGATTTTAAAAGTCTAAAATATGTGAGAAGCCACAATGAAATCTTTCAAGACCTAAACCTCTAATTATTCCTGCCACTAATGGTTGAAAAGGTGGGGTGGATGGGGTAGGGAAGGGATGTGAAGCTGAGTCTCACCTCAGGGGGGATGTGGGCTCCTAGGCAATTTCTCATAGTTTGTAGCTTGAGGTAGATGGGAGAATGGGTGGGGAATGTGTCTAATCCCCAGCAGAGTCTGAGTGCTGCCACTACCAGCTTCAAGTTTGCAGGGGGAGACTTTCATTCATGGAAGAAACCAATTGCTAGACTGGGCTGCAGTTGGGTGACCAGGGCTGTGTTCTTTAAACTTCCATTCACAAATCTCAAGGAAGTCCCAAACAGCAGCCATAACATTCCCAAGTTTGCATTTAACAAATGAAGTTTTTTTTTTTTTTAAAAGTTCATAGAGTTCCAGGAGGGTTGAGTAGATTAAGCGTCTCATGGAGTTGATGCTTAATGTTTTGGATCTTTCTTGATATTTTGTACATGCATAGTAAGTATGTTAGCATTCTACTCTGTTTTTAAGAATTTGGAGACATTATAAAAAGAATTTGGTTTCATTATAAAATTTCCATGGTCCATTGAGCTCAAAAAAAGACACTGGTTATTTCAAATGGGTGGTTTTATTATTGACGAAGGGGAAATAAGGACATCCTGTAATAAATTGAACACGAGAAATTTCAGAATAGGAAGAATATGCTGTGCATTAGAATGTTAGGTTGAGGCTTTATGATCACAAGTTCATAAGTGTTTTCTTGGAAAAGGTTAAAATAAAAGATTATCATTAGGAGAATGACATAAAAACAGAGATAGGCCCCCCTCCCCCGCCAGCCCCTGTACACACAAACCCACACGGAGAAAAAGAGAGGAAGAGAGAATGAATGTGAGAAAGGACACCCAAGGCATTCACAGAGTCCAAAGTATGTTTTTATTGTGATACAGACCATCAAGTGCCAGGAAATTCAAAGGCAAAGTCTTTCACTCTGTTCTTAATTCATGCCATGGAATCTGAATTCTTGTACTATTATAAATGACTCAGCAAATGTTTGTGTGAGCCTGGGCGGTAAAGTGGAATTAGTGGCTTCTTTTAACTTTCTCAGACTGTGACTTATCCCAGATTTTTTGATTGACAGCAGGTCAGGATTGGGAGAAAAGGGACTTTGAATATGTGTGCAGAATGGTTACGATGCACTAATTTTGACTTGTAAGCTAGGCAGATGCTTTTTAGGGAGCATCCCACCCACCCCCCCAAAAATGAAGAATTCACTCAGCTGGCTACTGAGTTCTGTTTACTAAGCTAAATAAGGGATGTGTATGTCTACTCTGGCATCATTTATATGGGTCGTTTGGTTAAGCCTTGTAAGATGTCAATTGTGGGAACACTACATTCTTTTCCTTGTGTTTTTTGTTGTTTTAGCCCCCTAAAAAAAAGAGTACTTGATCAGGTATCAGACATAGAGAAAAACTGGCTGGACTACAGGAAAGTGGCCAGACTTGGAGTGTTTGTGTACTTAAAGAAGGAATCTTGCACATTTTCAGCTTTCAGTTGTAGACATTTTCTTATAAGAGCAAGCAGGAGTCAGAGCCAGCCCTCAAAGCGGAAATCAAAGCTTACAGGGAAACATACCAGAGGAATGTGACTCAAGAGCCAAGAGCCATACGCAATGCATGCACAGCGTTGTCAGACTTATAGGAAATCTGGCCGTATACGGGCATCAGGACAGTGAGCAATTTGTCCTCATGGTGGGTTGGGAGTGGGCTTCTGGCATTTCTGGTGTGCTTCTAATTCAATCATGTAAATGAATTACACATTAAAAAAGGTAGTATGCCCAAAGCTTTTGAACACGGTAATAAATATTATTCTAAAATCTTCAGGGACCCAAGCTTGGTTTTTTTTGACCTTCTGTTTGCTTGAGATGAAGGTTAAGGAGAGGGCGTACTTGCTGGGAGTTCAGAGTGGGGATAGAAGTACAGATGTTTACTATCTAAATTGCATTCATTACCCTCATGCTTTTTCCTCCTTATAATTAATTTTTAGCTTTCTCAGGGTATTTTCCAATGCAAAGCTATTTCTCAGAAAGTAGTTAACTTCCATGTGGTTTGTGATTTATATTTGCTTGCTGTTTTTGCTACTTGTGAGTGGATTTGGTGCTGGAGGAATGACACAGGAAAAATGAACTTCATGAGATATTTCATTCACTTTGCCAGTTTTTTTCCACTTTGTTAATTTAATTAGAACTTATAGACGTGTGTGCATGTAGATGTAGATATGGATATAGGAGGGACTGGTTTATGTAGAACTCTGTATTGCCTCTTGGTGACTTTGGTTCATTTAAATTGGGTCTTTACAACATGGGTGTTAGTTACTGGGGCTAGGGCCTGGTGGTTTTCACTACTTTGTCTAGACAGCTTATAAATTTATGAAGTACTTTGACCTGAACTATCTCACTTAGATTTTAAAATCCTGAGATAATTACTCTTCCCATTTTATAGGTCATGAAGTTGAGCTGCAAGGATGTACTGTAACATAAGCTTGCATACAGGCGCAGTATGGTTGTGTGAACTTGAATTTAATTCTTCTCAAGTGACCAATCTTTCCTTTTGTTCTAAACTTCACTGCTTCTTTTCTTTGTATTCTCTATGCAGTGGTCTCTGAATATTGCATGCTATCAAGATAGTTACCACAACTGATATTAAATTTTTTTATTAATATTTTAAATGTTTAATATTTTATTTATTTGAATGGCAGTGAAAAAGAAGGAGGATAAGGACATGGTGCATTCCCCAAATACAAGAAAGTGGGTTGGATC